GTTACATTTCGAGTATTATACTGTAAAACTGTTACTTTTTTTTATATATACATATTTAAATTGAATAATATTGAATAAATAATTTTACAAGTTTTAAGATGTTAGTACATCAAATTAACAATCTAATTAAATTTGAGGGAGGGGGATTGTTAATATTTCAAATTAGTTTCCTTAAATTTTTTTAATTGTGCAGTATACACATATCTTTTTCTCACCCATACATATTTTTGTCTTATAAATGTATAAAAATGATTAAAGAGGAAAAAGGCCGTCATATCCTCGCTGAGGTTTCTCTCTGATTGAAGTATTCATTACGCCATCTGAAAGATCCTGAAATATCAACTAGTGAAGCTATTCAGCTCTGTGAATAAAACAGCTAATTTATGTATAAATTTAAATTGTTTGTAGAACAAACATATTTCTTTTACACAATATTTGCTTGTGTAATTAATAGTATTAGGAATAATTTTACCATAAATAATTTCTTTTCTTTTTGTGACTAACTTAAGACGTAAATAATTAACGAAAATAAATAAATAACAATAACATTTCTACATTTAAAATATTTTATACTTAAATGATATATTTAGAGCTGTTAAATTAATACTGTAATAGTGATATATAAGATTCACGAAACGTTGACATTAATGAACAATAGCATTGTTCATTTTATCTCTCGGGAGCTGCTCGAGATCGCTCTGAACGAACCCAAAATACTTGAAATATAGAATTTACACGATATTCGTCATACGACGTCCAACAAATTTATCGTTACAACAAACAAACAATGCTAATGGATTACGACATGGCGATAAGTCATAACCCTTTGTCACCCCTGAAGAAAACACCCGTGAAAGTCTTAAAAGTAAATATTATTAATATTATCATATTTTCATGAAACTACGATAATAATTTTATGATATTGCAATCAATATTTAATGAAGAACGTTTCGCAGAAATGACTCATATCGATAATGAATAACTCTTGCATATATTAAAAAAAATTAAAATTTCAAGGCAAATAAGGCGCAGTAATTGTGCGCAGATTCAATCATAAAACAAAATTAAAACTGAAAACAAATTTTCGCATAGATTAAAAATTAAATACAAAAATATATATTCAAATTGTGTTAAAATTCGAACGTTTCGGTCAAACATTCACATTTGAGATCACCCAGCGAAATACCAGAAATTAAACATGAAGATTTCCTTGCACACCACCATAACAAATCGAGTGAACATCCAGATGCAAATTCAAATTCCTTCAAATTGGTTCCATGCCAATGATGAATTGTAAAATTATAAATTCTGCAGATAAGAATGCAAGAAAAGCTCGATAGAAGTATTTATATATACATATCAGAAAAAAATATATAATAAGATTAACAAGATGTTATCGTTATGAAAATCAGAATCGTTAAATAATAAATTAAATAATATATGTTATGTTGTTATACGCACTTCCAGACGTTTTTCTTCCTTCGTGTGATTTTCAATCGTCGACTAATCAATCGATTATCAAGAGTTAATTAATAAATTGGTTAATAAATTTCTCATTTTATTAAGTGAGTGTAATCGAAATGTTAATATGTTGAAACGTGACAATTTATAAAAGATGAATCTGATTGTGAGAACGTGTGACTTGATATCTACGTACTTAAGACATTTAATATTTGAGTAAAAAAAGTGAATTACAAAACTGTTGTGTCAAGCACTATTACGGTGCATCTAAATTTATTCTTCCAACTGTTTCAAGAAACTAGAACAAAATGGAATCATTGAACATCTACAATAACAATTTAATAATTAAGATAATAATAAGCTTTCAAAGTGTATTTGGCTTTGTTTTAAATATTCACAACTCTTTAACTGCTAAGAAGTGCAATTTATTGTCCAATTTCATTGTCCAATTTCTCACTTTTACAAACTTTCTTTAACAATTTTATTTACGCTATCGCGCTTGTATTTATTACATATTTATGAGAAGTCTTATGAGAAACACTTCTCATAAGTATGTAATAAATGCTATGCGATACGCTAATTATTTCTTCTTGTAATTTGAAAACTAAGCTTCAGACAAAATTTTTGTAAAGGATTTAGAATTAAGTTTAGATTTAAGTCAAGAATGCGACACTTCAAGGACAAACATTTTTTTTTTATTGTAATTACCCTGTATACTATTTAATCACATTTATATGTATATTACGAATTTAATTAATTAATTAAGTTAATTAATTAAGTTGCAAAGTAATTAAGTTATTACAAAGTAATTAAGAGATTAATTTCTTACATAATGAAGAATATATTTCTACAAGAATTTTATAAATACATATGATGGATCATATTGAATTCAGCGAGAGACCATAATCTTTCTGATTTATTGTTTTAATTTATTCAACCTTTTATAAAATAGCGAATCTATTTAAAGTTACTTTTATTTTGTAAACTATTCGCACGATTTTTTTTTTAAACTACAAGATAATTGATAATGTTTTATTCAAATTTGAAGTTAAAAAGAAAAAAATTCGAAATAATTGATTGAATATTATGACGGACAAAATTTTTTTAAATTTAATTATATTATAAAACTATCTAGTAGCACAAATTCATACGATATATTAATTAAACATTAAGATTAGTTTTAAGGATTTTTTAATTGCGAAATTTACTTTTTTGAAATTCGATATTTTTAAGCTACAAACTCAGCGATATTAAAAATCTTCTAGAGCTAAGTTTCGCGATAATCAGATTATTTGTTTTAATTTGAATTTTAGAATTCTGAAAACAGAATCGAATTTAGTAATCTCGAAAACGAGGAGTCTTCTTTAAATCTCTTTGTTAAAAAATTCCGGTCAATCCTCAAAGAATTAATATTAATATTAATATAATTTAATATAATTTAACTGCTTTTAATGCAGACATTTGTAAGCTCTGTCCGATCCTGAATACAAATTTTTTAATATCCTGCAAAATCTATGACTGATATATCGATCTCGCGAGGACTCGGCGAAAACACGTATTATATATCACAAGTAACTGGCGAAAGGAGGCTAATGAACGTGAACACGAACACAAACGGTGGATAATTTGCTGACAGTATACATACGTGTGTCTGTGTGTGAGTGGGTGTGGAAGTAGTGGAAGAGTGGCGGCGGAAACAAAGCCAGCGAAAACATAATACAAATATGTGAGCCAGACACTTGTGTGTGTATAGACTGTGCAGGCACAAGTATATAAGGTATTTCGAGATAATACTCTACGACTGCGTCGTATCCTTCGCACATGAATAATATATATTAAAAAATGCGCGTGCTTTCGTATATCGGGATGAATTTTATTATTATGCGTACTCGTGATAACTATTGTTGATTTACATGTTAAAAATAAAATTTTATTCTGAATTCTGAGAACTCTTTGAATAATAATGAATTGACTTCATTGAATTTTTAAAAATATTATCAATTGTCCTGGAATTGATATAGTATTATTTATTAAAAACTTATAACGTTGTTTGTTTACTTAAATTCAAGAAGTCCTTGTTTTTATAGAACTTTAATTAAATGTTTAATTTTAGTAAATGTTTAATGTAAATCAAAAAAATTAAAATAAGAAATTTTTTAAATAACATTTTAAATAACAATTGAAATTATTCATTAAATGAATCAGAGCCTCGCATTTTTTTTTTTTAAATCGATACGTCATCGTATAGCGACTGCTATGATGTCATGTTTGAGGCGTAGAATCGACATAATCCTCGAGTCACTATATCCGATTCTTGGATTCTCTTTTATTTCACAGACGTTATCTCATACATAATTACGTCATTGCAAAAAGCAAGTAGTTACTAAATGATATCTTTGTATTTGCAGTAAAATGTTGAAATAAATTGCCAGTTTAAAAGTCGAGCTGCTGATTAAATGTATAACAATGCATGTACTATTTTTAAGTTAATTAACGAATTCGTAATTATTTGCGCAAATTTCAATAACATTTTAACTGACAAGATAATGTTTATTATTATCTGAAATGGATTATTTTTGAGAGAAATTAATCTAGAAACATTGCAATTTTTGTAATTCATAGAAATGTAAATTTGATATAAAATATTTTAATTGTCAAAATAAGAATTCTAAAAAAAAACGAAGATACAGTATGTTTTAGTTACTTGAAGATGTTTTGAATATATGTTTTTATTATTGTAATACTTTAAAATTAATTAATTTATTATAATAGAATGTAGAATTCAACAAAAAAATGTTTTAAAAACATATACATATTAGATTTGTAACTATTCCTTCGTATTTAATCTTTTTTAAATTATATTACAAAGAAAATTATATTGCGAAGAAATTTCAAACAGAACAAAAGTTATCATGATATCAAAATATAACGTCAAAATAGTGTCAAAATGAAAACTAAAAGTTACTCTTCGAGTTGCGAATTATTTTAATGTCATTTTAACAATACCGTAACATGTTGCCTTGTTTGAGTAATTCTCTTTTTCCAAACGTAATTATTACGTAGAGAGTTTTTGTAATAACGTAATAAAAAGATCTAGATATGCGGTGAACGCTAAAATTATGTTACCCTTTTTTTTAATTAGCTGTTAAGAAGAAGTAACCTTAGCGTTCATCGTATCTAAATAAACGATATTGCAAAAACTCCTTATTAAAATGGGTAAACTTTAAATAATCGTTTACCAAAAAAGGAAACATTTTTAAAAAGGACATTTCTTCGGCTTGTTTGAATCTTTATGTTTTTTCTCACACGACTTTATCATTTTATCAATCATGTCGTCTCTTACTAATCGTATTTTAATTTCGTTCTATATTAAAATCCATAACAAAATATTATATAGTAGCATCCATCAAGCTGATTCACGGAGAAAATGAGCGCCACTGGACCATAGCGTCTGTATTCTCGACTCGATGCGTGAATACCACGATGTAAAAGTCGGCGTGTTTCCGTCGATCGTAAAAATCGAGGCTAGCTGACGCGCCTGCACAATGCGTGGTCGGTCTTCAGCATCAGTCGTCGTTGAACCCTCGTCTCGCGAGCATCTACGACCGTCCCGTGAATCGAAAGCGTGAACACGTAAGTACGCTGTACGACACCGAATACGCCCAATGCCGACGCGCGTGAATGAATGAACTTAGGAGTCTTCTTTCATGTTCCTCGCAAATCGGGAATTTTACGGTAAAGCTACGGGCCGCTTTAAGACGCACCCAACGCTTGCTCCAGACTCTTTGTTTGTACTGTTCTTTTGTGTGCTGGTTTGCGGGCCGACTAGCCTTGACCGATTGGAGTGAGATATTAGAATAAGACGCCAAACGTTGTTCCAGTGTATACAAACACACAATAATATAATACATTTTGTTGAAAGA